GACCGTTAGGAGTTTTATGAATCTTAATTCCCAATTTCAAATCGGCAACTTCTAGATCTTTCATATCAAACTTACTAGCAAGCTGCTCATTATCAGCATGTCATCCAAATATAGGCATACAATGACTTCCTGATTTGGAACGTTTTTAATGTAGACACATTTATCACATTCATTGATCTTAAACCCATTTGCCAATATGATTTAATCAAACTTTGCATGTCATTGTTTCGGTGCTTGTTTCAGTCCATAAAGTGACTTAACAAGTTTTGCATATTTTCTTTTCTTTACCGGGAACTACGAAACCCTCAGGTTGTTCCATGTAAATCTCTTCTTCCAGCTCTCCATTTAAGAATGTGATTTTCACATCCATTTGATGGATTTCAAGATCGTATACTGTAGTTAGGGCAATTAACATTCGAATTGATGTAATCCTAATCACTGGCTAGTATGTGTCAAAATAATCAAAACCTTATTTCTGTCTAAAGCCTTTGACAACAAGTCTTGCTTTATATTTGTCAATAGTTCCATCATCTTTCATCTTATTTTTGAAGATCCATTTCGAACCCAAGGGTTTGTTCCCTGGAGGAAGATCAACCAACTCCCAGGTATAATTGCTTAAGATTAATTCAATCTCACTATTGACAACCTCTTTCCAAAAGGTTGAGTCGCTAGACAACATAACTTCTTTGAATGTTTGAGGCTGACTTTCAAGAAGGAATGTTACAAAATCATATCCAAATGAAGTAGTTGTCCTTTGAAGTTTATTGCGCCTTAGACTTTCTTCATTAGGTTCATTCTCTTTTGGTTCTTCTCGAGGTCGTTTAAAGAATTCAACATTATCTGATTCCGTTACCATATTGTCATGAATACCCGGATGTTCGGACTTAGGAACCAAAAATCGACATGCCTTACTATTTGTGGCATATCCAATGAATACACAATCCACAGTCTTAGGTCCTATTTTCACCCTCTTAGGTATAAGAACCTGGACTTTGGCTAGACACTCCCACACTTTGAAATATTTCATGTTGGGTTTTCTACCTTTCCATTTCTCATATGAAATAACATGTGTCTTGCTATGAGGCACATGATTGAGTATTCGATTTGCTATAAGGATAGCTTCCCCCCACAAGTTTTGTGGTAAACCTGAACTTATAAGTGAGACATTCATCATTTCCTATAAAGTTTGGTGTTTCCTTTCCGCAATTTCATTAGATTGAGAAGAGTAAGGAGTAGTAGTTTGATGGATAATTTAATTTTTCAAACATATTTCTGCAAATGGGGATTTATATTCTCCACCTCTATTCTGATCATTTTGATCTTTTTATCCAACTGATTTTCAACTTCAGTTTTATATTGCATAAACGCATCTATTGCTTCATCTTTACCATTTAGCAAATATACATAACAATATCTAGTGCAATCGTCAATAAAAGTTATGAAATACTTTTTCCCACCACGTGATGGTGTTGACTTCATGTCACAAATGTCAATGTGAATCAGTTCTAAGGGATGTGAATTCCTTTCAATAGATTTATAAGGATGCTTAACATACTTAGATTCAACGCAAACTTGATATTTTGATTTATTGCACTCAAATTTAGGCAAAACATTTAAGTTAATCAGTTTTCGCAAGGTTTTTGTTATTAATCTGTCCCAAACGTTCATGCCATAAACATTTAGACTCAAACAAGTAAGAGAAAGCAGAATCGTTATTCATATAAACTACATTGAGTTTGAAAAGGCCCTTAGTGAGGTAACATTTTCCTACATACATCTCATTCTTACTTACTACAACTTTATCAGAAACAAATACATATTTGAATCCATTCTTGGTAAGAACTGGTATAGAAATTAAGTTCTTTCGCAATTCTGGAACATACAAGACCCTGTTCAAGTCACCACCTTGCCTGATGTCATCTTTAAGTGGATCTTGCCAGTTCCTTCAACCTTTGCAGCAACGAAGTTCGCCATAAATAACTTCTCGTCTGCTGGTGTTGGAGTATATGATGCAAATAATTCTTTGTTGGCACAAACATGACATGAGGCACCATATCTATCCACCATTCTCTTGGATTTCCAGCCAATTAGTTGCATTCTGAAAGCATTGCACAGAGATCGTCCATCTCTTCTTTGGATTCAACCAAATTTGCTTGATCCTTCTTCTTGTCCTTCTTGGGACCCCGACATTCAGTAACCTTATGACCACGTTTTCCACAATTGAAGCAGTTTCCATTGAATTTCTTCTTAGGAGGATTGCTCTTTGGACTAGATGTTTTCTTTCTTTTCTTTGATTTTGTGGGATTTTCTTCAACAATATTTACTCCAGATATTGCTGAATTACCACGTGACCTATTTTCTACGGTTTTGTTATCCTCTTCGATTCTCAGCCTTACCATGAGATCTTCAACAGTCATCTCCTTGCGTTTATGTTTTAAGTAGTTTTTGAAGTCCTTCCACAACAGAGGTAACTTTTCAATAATGGCCGCCACTTGAAAAACATCATTTACAATCAATCCTACATTAAAGATTATGTGAGCATTAAGAATAGACTTAATATGTTCAATATAGGCATTAAATAAATTTATACCTTCCGCAAGGAGATCATGGATTATGACCTGCAACTCTTGAACTTGGGTGACGACGGTCTTACTGCCTATCATCTTATAGTCCAAAAACTTTGCCACAATGAACTTTTTCATTCCGACATCCTTTGTTTAGTACTTCTTTTCTAAAGCATCCCAAAGTTCTTTTGAGGTCTTGACACTAGTGTACACATTGTACAAATCATCTTGTAGGCCACTCAGAATATAATTTTTACACAAAAATCTGATTGCGTCCATGCTTCTGTCACCAAGAATCGTTCTTCGGCCGGAGTTTCATCCGACAAAACAGGAATGTTCTCATTAATGAATCTCTGCAGACTCAACGTAGTCAGATAGAAGAGCATCTTCTGCTGCCATCTCTTGAAGTCGACTCCAGAAAACTTTACATGTTTCTTAGCCTGTGCAAGGGCAACAATTGAACGATTGTGTGCAACCGATGTTGTTGCAGCACTCACTCTTCCAACATTTACTTGACTTGAATTTGTCATTTTTCTGTCACAAATGACAGACAATTTTAGTATGTGAAATACTAACAGTAAAGAATAAATCCTTACACAGCCTGTTTCTGATTTAACGATGAAGTTTTTATGTTCTTTTAATCGTTAATCGAATGAATTTTAAAAATTCAAACAGAGTAGAAAACCATAAAGGTTTTAATCTCCAGAAACCTCAAATACAGAAACTATTAGATTTCTTAAGCTTGTTATTTCTTGTATTCAGGTTAGAAAAAAACAGAAAAGAAAAAGATGAAACAGACAAAAAATAAAATTCTAGTCCACATAACTCACTGTGTTTCCTTAAGAAATTTAATCCCCTCAAGTACCCGATGCTACAAATTAATTCCTCTCAAGATAAAACAGATTAATTATTAGAGAAGTAGCGGTACCTCAAACTTCACTAATTTCAGCGAACGCAAGAACAACAACGAGAGCACACACAGACTCAGTTGATCGACAATTTTGTTTTGTAAAAAAATGTATGCAGAGAGAAAAAATTTCAGTGTTGAAAAACGAAAAAAAGACTCTATTTATAGCCACTTGCAGCAAGGAACGCGTCTGTTCGGACAATGGTGTGTCTTTCCAGAACGTTGTGTCTTTTGGGAAAAATAACGTCTTTTCGGAAGGACTAGGTCCCTTCAGAATGGCTTTACCGTTACACGTGAATTTCAAATAGATTTCATTACGCGAAATTAATTATGTTAATTAACTAACATTCTGAATTAATTTATAAGAGAAAGGAAATCAATTAATGAGATTGATTAAATAAATTTGTCCAAAAATATTATCAATCAATTCATTTGCCGAATTCAAGCGAGCGACGACGATGACAGCGCGAGGGGGCAACTTCTTCTTAATCCTTTAAGAACTAAATGAAGTGTTTCCTAATATAAGGACACCAATTTTCCTTTCTTCTACCAATATGGAAGAAATGACTTTTCATTTTCCTCCAAAATTAGTTCCCCCACATTTTCCATTTTCTCTTCTTAATTCTCATTCACACCTTACTAAAACCCAACAATTTTTTCATAATTAATTTTTATATTTTAATACTTTTACATAACCCTAATCAACTATCCCATTTAGTATATCTTAAAATTCATGAAAAACAAATGAATAGTATGTGTAACGTAAACTGAGAATGCAAGTAAAAACAAAATAGCAGTAAAAAAGTCGTGCAATTGCTGAAATCACCCCTTTGACCTTTAAAGTGGATGGGTCGTTCAGTCCCCAAAATTTGCTACCTGAATTTTGTTACAAATGTTTCCCCTCTCTCATCTACCATACGTATTCCTCAATTTCTACTTTACCACAAATACACTATTCCTTATAAAATAGTATTTAATTTAATCACAACAAAATTAACCGCTTTTAAAACAAAGAACGTAGAAATTAAAACAAACTGTAATTAGTTGCCTATTTAAGTTAATCACAACAAAATTAACTACTTTTAAAACAAACCCCATAGAAATTAAAACCAACAAACAGAAATAACAACTACCTCGAATCTCTACTTAAACAACATTAGTAGCTCCATTGTATATACATACCATATTATTATTATTACGATTAATCAGTTTGTTAGAAAAAAGATATAGCACAAAATTAATTCTTTTGTTTGTAATTATATACATCTTTCTCTTTTTGTGAAAAAATGAATTATTTTACTTTTTTTAAACCTTTTTGGCGTATGCAGCAAATAAATAAATAAAAAATTAAAGCAAGTGTCCTCGACGACGGATCTGGTCAGCGCCGTTTGACCAACTTTTTATTATCTTCAAAGGTAGAGACCAATTTGAAGGGGTATTTAAGTCATTTCATCTGATCTCTAATCCTGCGCCTGGGTCCTGAGTTTTTATATATATTATACACAGAGCATTCGGCTTTTGTCGTCGTTGGTGTTTGTTTGTTTTACTTTACCCTTCTTTTCTTTACTCTCTCTATCTTTGTTTGTGTGTATAAAGGAATGAGAACAAGGAGAGGGCTTTGTTATCCAAATCCAAAAGTAAACATGTGTATAGAAAACAAAATTATTAAGAGGAAAAGAAATGATTTTTCTGGCATCGGAGACCGTCGGAAAAGATCTAAACTTTCGCCGGAGATTACTGGTCATCATCCTGATCTTTTTGATTCTTTGCCGGATGATCTCGTTGTTTCTATTCTCTGCAAACTCACTTCTTCTGCTGCTTCGCCGGCTGATTTCGTTAACGTTTTGATTACGTAGGTTCCGATCCTCTTTTTATCAAAACTAAACTAAAAAAATCTGTATCTAATGGGGCTATGCTTTTTTTTTTATATGCAGATGCAAAAGACTAAATGGGCTAGGTCATCATTCGCTTGTATTATCAAAAGCTTCTCAGAAAATGTTAACCGTGAAAGCACAAAACTGGTCGGAATCTGCTCAACGCTTTCTCAAACAATGCGCCGACGCCGGAAATGTTGAAGCTTGTTACACCCTTGGCATGGTGAGTATTAATAACAATTAATTTTATTAATGAGGAATTAAAATTAATTATATATATATATATATGTATATATTAAGTGCGATTTTTTATTGTTGGACACAGATTCGATTCTACTGTTTACAAAATCGAGGAAGCGGCGCGTCCTTGATGGCGAAGGCGGCGATTAGCTCTCACGCGCCGTCGCTCTACTCTCTGGCCGTTATCCAGTTCAACGGCAGCGGTGGTTCGAAGAACGACAAGGACCTCCGGGCCGGAGTTGCTCTGTGTGCACGCGCCGCCTTCTTAGGCCACATCGATGCTTTGAGAGAGCTTGGTCACTGTCTTCAAGATGGGTACGGCGTGAAGCAAAACATCGCGGAAGGTCGGCGATTCCTCGTCCAAGCCAACGCGCGTGAGCTTGCTGCCGTTTTATCGATGACACCTTCAGCTCTGACCGCCGGCGGGTGGCTGACGTGGAACCCACTGCCTCATCACCGGCACGGAGCAGGTAGCGGGTGCCCGTTACTGAGTGATTTCGGGTGTAATGTTCCTGCCCCGGAAGCCCACCCGGCTAATCAGTTTTTAACTGAATGGTTTTTGAATTCTTCAAAAGGCGGAGTCCCGGGTTCGGGGCTCCGCCTTTGTTCACATGCGGGTTGTGGAAGACCCGAAAGTAGGAGGCATGAATTCCGTCGATGCTCTGTTTGTGGTACAGTTAACTATTGCTCACGCGCTTGCCAGGCGCTTGATTGGAAGATGCGTCATAAAGCAGAGTGTACACCGGTAGAGAGATGGATTGACGAAGACGGAGAAAATGACGGTAACGGCGAAATGGGTGAGGAGGATCAGAATATGGTGGAAAGTTAAACGGCGAGAGTAACAGTGTGCTTGACTGTGAAGGTGACGGTAACGGCACGTGAGTCTCAAAAATTCACTGGCAGGTAAAAAAAAAGGAAGAAGGGCCAAGTTAGTAGTGGCCGTTTTTGGGAATATAATTATGGTGGTCTTTATTTTTGTATAGAACAAGTAAAACAAAAAAATTGGGATGTATGAAGAGGAAAAAGGAGAAAAGCAAATTATTCTGAAGTTTTTTTAGTTTGTTTTTTTAATATTTTTTTAAAAAAATATTAATAGGAGTATTAATTTAGAGTATGGTTGGAAAAAAGAATAGAAAATGAATGGGGAATATGATGATGGGTTCTCTTTATGCTTGCCTCCCGACCAAATGATATCTCTATTCCTCATTCAACTTCTCTTTAAATTTACATGAAATGTGGGCCTATACATTTTACAGCTATTCATTTTTGCTTGCTTTAAACAAAAATAATACTTTATCTGTAGTAATTTATATGAGTTATTTTTATTTAAGCCGATATTAAAGATAAAGAGAGTTTTTTTAAATTTGTGATTTAAAATAAGTTATGTAAATATTTATGAGGTTAGAAAAATGTGTTATTTTCTTTAGACCTAAAAAATTAGGTGATGAAAGATTTGGTTAAGAACCAACTATACAACAAATATATTGGAAGTAGAAATTTGTCTTTTCGTTTTAGGTTAAAAGGCTTAAAGCTGGAAAAAGTCTTGAAAAGCAAAATTCAAAATTTAATTGTGCTTTCTTTTCTACTAGTTTAGTATGTTTACTTTAAAATTTTATTTGATTCTTTCCTCTGATCAATTAATCAAATTTCGCCTTCTCTAAAAAAAAATTAATCAAGTGAATTTGTTGAATGAGATCTATATCAATTCTTTTTTGATAATGTAAAGGAGTTATGGCGAAATAATTGAACTAACAAAGTGGATAATCGACAATAAAATATTAACAAAATAACAAGAGAGAATTTTATCAGAAGATGATAAATGTTGTTGAAGAACATGTGATGAACAATCGTATTTACATAAGTAAAGCATAAAAAATTTAATACTCCCTTTGTCTCAATTTATGTGGCACTTTTCGTTTTTAAAGAGTCAAACAGTTTAAGTTTGATCGGGAGTTTGTGCATAGAATTTTCAAATTTCTTGAAATGAAATTTATATATTTGTAAACTACGTAAAAAGTACTATAAGTTACAATAATTGATAATTCAAAATGTTTAAAGGATCTATAAAAAACTTACAAGCAAAAACAGATTCATTTGAATCTTGAAATCTGAAAAGTGTAATATAAAATGGAAGAGAGAGTAATAAAGTGGAAATTAAATGATAATTGCGGAGAAGTCTTCTTTGTAAGGTAGCTAACAATAATAGTTCTCCATGACCTCTGCCTGTTTCTGTCATTACATAGTGAAGATCGTAGCATTTCATGAAATTAACTAAGATCTTGGAGTCTTGACTGAATTATCATTATTCTATACATATAATACTTAGCATTAATGTTTACTCCCTTCGCTTTATAAAGAATGATCTAGTTTGACTTGACACAAAATTTAAGAAAATAAAAAAGACTTTTGAATCTTGTGGTCCTAAATTAAAGTTATATCAAATGTATAAAATTACTCTTTAATCTTATGGCCTTAAACATGTCACGTAAAAAATTGAAATTAAAATATTAACAAAAAAAAAAAAAAAATCATTCTTTTTTAAATTGATTAAAAAGGAAAGAAGTGAAGAAGTATTATAAAAGTACTTTTGTACTGTTAAAAGTACAAAAAAAACCTGCAATTTGTACTAGAAATAAGTACTAAGGCATCCCTTAAATTTTTTTATTTATTTGAATAAACACCTCTTGTTTTGATTTACTTTTAAACCAAAGTGTTCATATTGACAGTAGATAAGTTTACCCAAAATAAAAAAGGTAACATCGCAAATGAAGAAAGTGGATTTCTTTGTCTTGTGATTTTTCAACTTCTTAATTAATTAATTTATTTATTTTGTGTTTGGTCAAATAGTGTCAGATTACTAGGATCAAATAATGTCAGAACAAGAGATTGACCAAAGAAAAAGATTAAAAAAAAAGGACTAGAAAGAAAGCAAAATGGGGGAGAACTTTTTTTCCGAGTTTAAAAAATCCGAAGGAAGGCAAAAACAAAATATAGGATTCAGGAGTCGTTTTGTATGATGTATAAGGTATAATAATCTCAAAGATAAAATACAGGATTATTTTACCCTGCGTTTTGTTGGAGGTATTAGGCAGACCTAAGATTATTTATTCCACCATTATACCTTAGTGATAAAATAAATTATCACATAGACACGATGAAATAACTTATCTCAAAATAATCAATCCTAGAATAGTTTGTTCCCAACCAGGACTTCCTTATAGACAAATACACACTAGCAAACTGAGAAAATAATTTCCACCATAAACTAATTTTTTTTAACATGTGGTAGCAAGTGACGTTGAGAATACAATTAACTAATAATAGTGTGTTCTCTATAACAGTTTATGTTTTTAGATAAGATGATTACACATTTCAACATGGTATCAAAACAACCAGAGCTACTAGGTCTAAAGTCATGACTTGATATAATATAAATACTTTTATGTACCTAGCTAGCTAGAATCATCAAAATAAAAGTTCAAAAAAAAAAAGGGTTAACAAAGTCATGAAAATTAAGGCAAGCACATGGTGGAGGTGCACTTATTCACAATAATAATAAGTATCCCCCAAACTAGCAATCACATCTTGTTGTGTATATACAAAAAGAAGGGTGGTGGAGTGGTCCAATATATATGATGTCTAACCTCAGATAGGTTTGTTGGTTAGATATGAAATATAATGTTTTCCCTCAACAGAAAGTGGTTGCGAAAGTAGAGGACATGCCAATGCTAAACATGGAGAAACAACAATATGGAAATTATTGACTTGTTAACTTCACTCCTTTTAGGAGTAACCTTGAGATTTTGCTCCCATTTCCCCTAACAATTCTTACTTCTTTTTTCCCCCTCTCTATCTTCATTTAATGCCTTACCAATTACTCCCTTCATTCCATATTAATTGAATTTTTGAGATATTTTTCATTTTTCAAATTAATTTAATTGTTCAGTTTTCAAGACCACTTTTCAACCAAATTGGTTAATAAAGAGTAATTTCTTATTTTGCATCCCTATATATATATATATGCATATATTCTTTTATGACTTATATCTTATTTTATTATTTTTAATGATTTACACTCTGATCTTCTTTGCTTTTTGCAAAATCATAAAAGTTTCCCTTTTCAATTATTTACAAAGATAAAATAGAAAAATCAACAAGTTAATGTATTTTATTTTTTTAGGATTTAACAGAAAAATTAACTAGTTTATATATATATAACTAGTGAACTTATCTGTACTTCACGCGGTCATAAAAAAATTATTTAATATCTTTTCGATATTTGAATATAATAGATATGTTACTTGTCAAGTCAAAATATATAGGTTTCAAGTTTAATCGATTTGAATATACAATATATTTTCTCTATATTATTTTTAATAATTCGGAGTTTCAAAATTCTTATTTTGTAAGCAAATATTATTACTTAGAAATTATGCAATGTATATTATTTTTAATACACCAAATCAAACCCTACATAAGAAATAGTTTTAGCATAACTAATGTAAGCATTATTAATATCAATATTACTAATACACCATCTATATTTTTTATTTATATTCAACACTATTCTTCTGCACTCTATCAAACGACCCCTAAATCTTTATGGTTAATTCCAAATTGAGTAACAAATGTGTTACGTACATTAACTGTACAAGGTTCTTTGAAAGTGATTTGGGGTATAAAGATTACTCTAATTAGGTCAAAAACAAGTTGAAAAGTACAAGTAAATCAAAAGTTCCTAATGAGTTTGCACAAAGCCTCAATTCAAATACATATAATTATTAATTGATGGTGAATTTGGGAATACTCTAGGCATGAAAGTTGTAACCCTTTGCAAATAACTTTCCAATCATATAGAAATCAGGTTAATCCAAGCAATGAACAAATTGATATGCACGATTTATTAAAAAGTATCCAACTATGATAGTCATATATATTTAATATACAAGTCATATATATGACCTACGAGATGTATATGTGATATACGAGACGTATACCAAATATTAGATGGATGTACAAAAATCATAGTTATTGGAACTTAATTGGATTAACATATGAAGGACACACGTACATGGGACATACAAGTTGTATGTTGATCGTACATGACCTACGTATAATATATCATATGTATATCACAAATATATTAAACATATATCATGAGTATATCAGTTACAGTTATACATTTTGATTGGTTCAGAGTTACCATAGGTCAAAACGACATAAGCTTTATTAATATGCATTTTAGTCGAATTGTTATATCCTATTTTATTTTTTGATCGACTTTTGAGGAGAAAAAAACTCTAGGACTTCCTCTAATGTGAGTTTCTACTCAATTCACACAATTATTACATTTATTTATTTTTAAAAAAAATTATAGTTTGAATCATCATTCTAATCCTTAGAATTCAAGAATTGAAATCATGAGCTTTTAAGAGATTTTGAGGAATCTTCAAGAGGTAAGTCCCTTGATTTATTTTTGTGATTAGAGGGTAAATTGAGGTTTGTGTAGTCTATTATAGGGGAAAAAACCTAAATATACAGTTTAAGTACATAGATAACCCCATATAATAATAGTTTGATTTTTTCCAAACATGGTAATAGAATTCTTATAAAACCCAACAAACCCAGTAAAAAAATAAGGATTAATTAGAGAAATCCACCTTTTAGTTTACTTATTACCATTATCCCCTATAAGTTTTATAAATCTCCAAAATCCCTCATTTTCACACATCAGATTAGTGTATCTCGCGTATCAGATTAATGTATCAGCGCATCAGATTAGTGTATCTCGCGCATCAGATTAGTGTATCATGTATAAAATGTACATCAGATTAGTGTATCATGTATAAAATGTAATGTATCTTACTTAACGATTAATGTATCTCGTGCATCAGATTAATATATTAGCGCTTATATTATTGTATCCATTTGAGGGATTTCTGTAATTATAAACTTTTAAGGGATATATTGTAATGTTGCCTTAAAAGTATGGGATTTCTGTAATTTAAGAAAAACCGGTAGAATTAAAAAAATAATTGCGTGTGATTAATTATTAGGGAAAATTGTATAAAATAGCAAACTATTAATTCAAATTAAATGTTATAACCACATTTTGATTTAATTGTAACCCGTAGCGAACTATTGCCATTCGCCTCTCTCCCGAGCTTTCTCGCTCGCCACTCTCCCTCTCTCGCTCGCCAGTCTCTCCCTCGCCTCTCTCACTTTATACAAACACAAATGTATAAAATACATTTGTGTTTGTATAAAGCGAGAGAAAAATATATATACAAATACAAATACATATATTTCGTCTTATAATTATACAAATACAGATCTTCCCCTACCCAGTTCTCTTTTGTCTTTCTCTCTTTCTCGCTTTATACAAACACAAATTAAACAAATTACAATGTATAATTTGTGTTGTATAAAGCGAGAGAGAGAGAGATTTGATATACAAACGTTTTATTTCGATTCAATTGTATACAAATTCAAATTTTATGCAGATACACAAACATATAAAATTGAATTGAGAGGCTACCAACAATTTATACAAACGAGAGGCTGCCATCGATTTATACAAATGAGAGGCTACCAGCGATTTATACAAATTTGATGCCCCCAAGGATTTATACAAATCTGATGCTCCATAGCAAACTTTAGAGTGTAATTATACAAACTATAACTATAACATACAAAATAATTTCTATATGTGAAAATTGAAAATATATTCAATTTTAACCATTCACTCATTTCATTTAACACTTTAATTATTTTATAACTTCCTCTAAAAGTTCATTACCTAAAACTTGGTTTCTAGAAAATCTTTATATAATACTATATCTAGAAATTAAATTGAAGAGGTGAGGTGATACTTCTCTATGACCGGCATTAATATTTATCCTTTTTGTTATTTTTTTGTTGTCTTTTTATCTCATTTTTTCAAATACAAATTAAATAAATTCATGAGAAAAAACTGAATTCAATGCAAGTATGAAAATACTATAGTAAAATCTCACTAAATTAATATTCGGTAATTAATAATCTCTCTAAAATAATATTTTTTTGGGTCCCGACTTGGGCTACTGGAAAAAACTACTCATTTCGATAAGATAATAAGATAATATATTTTCAGAAGACTCTTATATAAATATATTGTTGCGAACCAAGTTAACTCTATAAGGGACTACGGGTTAAAAGTGATGAATGAGATTGGGCCGAGTAAAATGTTGGAGTGTTTTATTGGGGATCCAGGCCCAATTAGCATTTGGGTAAAAGCTAGAGCGAGTTTGAAAGAAGGGATATGCATATTGAAGAAAAACGTTTGTTCCTCTCTTCTTCTTCTAGAATCTAAGCTTCTCATCCCAATTTTTATCTCTATCTTAGTTACTTTTTAATTCAACATTTCCATTGTTATTTAGTTGTTTGATTATTGCAATTTACGATTCTAAAGGTTTAATCACATTCCAAGTCTGTTTTTAATATAGTGAGGAATTTGGATTTGTTACATATATGGTCCCATTAATATTATAAATTAATAATTCTTTAAAAGTACAAAGATATATAAGACAATTTAGTGAAATATGGATCTATTTAATTTTATTTTTTGGTTAAAATTTAAATATAGTTGAAGCTCATATCTAACTTTCCTCATTGCATCAAAAAGTTTTGGTGTTGTCTTTTCGAATTGCACCATTAAATGGTGAAGAGTTGTAGATGCGATAAGTGTTTCCTTACGTGTAACTGGTTCCACAGGTATTATATCATCTCCAACTTTATCATCAATATTAGTTTTCCAGTGGTATCCACAATTTAACCTAAGCCCTGGACCTCTGAACATGTATCATTTCCATCCATCCAACAGGTTATTAACGTCCATTTTATTGCGGTAATCGAGATTATTAATCATGACTTCAAGTTCATTAATGACGTTTCACAAATGGGTTCATTCAATTCTATGAGATTTAATTTCAGAACAAATTTTTTGGTATCGAAACACTCTTTAAATTAATAAATATTAATATATCGATTAAATAATACCTCTATAAAATAATAATATTTCATAGTGCCACCTATATTAATTTAATGAGGTTTCACTATACTTATTGGTATTTATAGTAATTAATACTATTAATTACTTTGATTAATAATATCAACTTCACTAAATTTAAGAAATGATAATCATATATATTTAATTTAGATAAAAATATGTTATACTTGTACTTATAATAGTAATTGATACTATTAATTAGTAAGAAAATTTCAAATTTCTTCATAGTATAGTTTTTATACTTCAAAGACCGTACATGTTACAAGTTTTAAACTTCTATAATTAACCTATTAAAAGTAATTCTTTTTTTTATTAATTGATTAACGTTTTATTTCTTATAAATAAATATATGTTATTCAAAATTTAATTATCAGAATAATTTTTTTAAGTGCCAAAGAAAGTTCTCTACTTCTTGTGCATCACGAACTCCTTTGAACTGTGGTGGCTTGGGAGCCTTGTCCTAGTCTCCCTCGTCACAAAAACATTCCTAGCGGTCTCAGTTACGCCAACGTTGATATGCTCTTTGAGTGTCTCTATCTTTGCCTTCATGGCATTAATAGTGTTCAACGCCTGCATGAGCCTGCACTCTAAGGTAGTAATGGTTGGCATCGTCTCTATCTTGATCTGCATACGTCCATCCAAATCGCTCTGAATATCTTCAAGAGTATGCCCCTCAAGAACACTTAGAGTGTCTTCAACTTTCCCCAAGCGTTGGCCAAATATTTTGACGACGACGTCATCTTCCCAACATCAACTTTCGTGAACCCCTCTCTACTGAGCAAGACATCCTCAGGCTTCGCCCGCGCGAGAGACTTCTATGCCAACTGGGAATAACGGCTCTGTTATGAAAGAAAGCGGCGAACTCCACATCATCTTCGCTCGCCTTAGTGGTAGAAGGTTCTTAGGATGTAAGCCTTTCATTTGGCTCAACCTCCTAGTTCTTATTGGCGACATTCTTCTTTTTGCCATAAGTGTTAGCAACGTTGATTTCTCCATCATTTCTCATTCCCTTAGTTGTAACATTGCTATGATATCATGTTATCATGTTCTTAATCTTTTACTAAGCGCACGTGAGGCACTTGACAATTTGTTCACGTTCTTGCATTACTAGCTCACGATCTTGCTATACCAAATCAGCTAAAAATTCTAGAAATCGCTAAGAAAATAGAAGAAAGAACACAAAAAGATTGTTATGAAAAATTGTGTAAAAAACTTGTATTGATATTTGTGTGGATGATTTTACAAATGGATATCCCTCTATTTATATTATTCATTTAGAAACTAAAATATAAATAATAATTCTACATAAGTCTCTACATATTTACATTCAAGTCACTTTTCTAAAACTCTCTACATACCTAGAATATTATAAAGACATTCTACGTAATTCTATAATCTTCCATAAAAAATATTTGTATTTTTGGAATTATCCAAAATGCCAAGTCTTTCTTCTATATAAGTTATGTCATGACACATATGTGGCATGATAATGTTCTCAGCATTTTATCAAATATATTCCTATCTAACAAAACGCTATTAAGGGCTGGTCATATTCCAATTGAAATCGAAAAAACCGATTGAACTGAATTTTTTTAAATTTTAATTTCAATTTTTTGATTTAATCGATCAGTTTCAGTTTTAAATTTTAAAATTACAATTTTTTGATTCGATTTTCGATTTAAAAAAAGAAAATTCGATTGACAAAAAAAAACCGAATTCTAATACTGCACACTACTGATTACACTGCACTCTACAGTCGAGCATGTCCAAAGTGAATATCCCTTGGCATTTAGGAGTGACCTACTGTAGCGCCACCAACCCAATTCTTAAATCAACGAATCCCTAAATTGAAACTCTCACGACTCACGTCTCGACGAGACGACGTTGACTCACATTGACTCGTCTCACAAAACTCATCTGATCATCCATCACCTCCGTCCGTCCTCGGCTCTCATCAATTGTCAGGCACAATCACAGTGACTGAGACTCACTCAGTTGGCAGTTGCTGCTTGCTTTTTAATTGTTAAAAACTTTTTGTATGTTGTCTGTAAATGCCTTGAGGCTGAAGGCTGGAGTGGACGCCCGGGGCCTGGACTCCTGATACTTTTAGCAAATAGCAATTGATCTCATTGGTCCTGGACATGGAGGCTTCTTGAATGTCGTCTATTAATGTCCTTGCCCCTAAAAGCTGAACTGCTGAAGGCTATGGCCAGTAGTGAAAATGTTTACTAGAGTTGCATCTTTCGAAATGACAAGAAGTTGACTACTTAATTTGAAACTTCATAAAATTGGAGCTATTAATACATGGGCTTCACACATTGATCGCCAACAGACTGATTTTCCCAGTTTCCTATTCTAACATATGCAATCACATCAACCTAGTACCCAAGCGAAGATAAATTCTAGATTGTGGACGCCCAAATTTCCAGTGTCTGTAAGCTGTATCCTTCGTATTGAATGTAACAAGAGAGATTGGCTTCCAAAAGATCACTTCATGGGCAACAGCACAAATGGACTCAAATTACTTAAAAATGTAATCGCCATTGTCATTGGTTTAAAAATGCATTTTCTGTTGCTATCAGTAGCAAAGGAGATGACATTTCTGCAAGCAACAACTAACATAGAGACTCCATGGGAATACATTTGTCTCGCAAGGACCCAACACAAACACTTCACCAGTGACGACTTAATCAAATTAGTAAAGTGAATGCCCCAACATAAACTAGACAAAATCAAGCTTTCATTATGCATAGACACGCCACTACAGCAAGGAAACGATCAAGAAGAACACAAAGCACAAAATCATTCACATATCAGATGTGCTACAGAAAGGAAGGGAATACCCTAGCTTTGTACAATGGGTATCCCCAGACTTCCTAATCCCACCCAAACTTAAGTAAGTCTTTCAAGCACAATTAGAAACATTGGGTTTAACAGTAATACTGAGATAGTAATCTCATTCTGATTTACTTGAGGTCGAGTTAGTAGCACCTTCTTTCTTCGTTGCAGCAGATTCAACCTGTTTATATGCCTTTGAGATTTCTTCAACAGGTATCAAAGGGATATAGCTGACGATACTATAACCCTTCTCCTGCAAGTCAACTACAAAATGATTGTACTTTTCAGACCAGTTAGCAGCTGTAGGAGCAGCCATCTGTGCGATTCCGTGCAATGGTGGACAGTGATTGACATAAAACCACAGCACTGCCACTCGACTAGTAGCAAATTGCTTGGACAATTCACCAGCATGATAGATAGCTGCACGAGGACCAGCCTCTTGTATGTCTTTGGACAAGTCTTGTGCAACCTCCGATGCCTTCTGAAACAGAGACTGGACTTTGCTGACAACCTTCTTGGCCAACGGAGGAGCACGTTCATCAAATTTTGCTGTTCCATCATCCACCTGATTGCCACCCACAGATACTCAATATGTTAAAAAGGAAGCAACAATGAGGAAACCAAACCTCAATGTCCACAAAATCTTTATCAGAATTCATAGATTCGAGGAAGCTAATAACAACCAGATGCGAATATATAAATTGTACTCTAGACTTCTGAGTAGCTCATAAAGTCACATAGCAGGGTACAATTCTTCTCAGGTATATATAGCAGCAAGAGGATGAAGAAAAACACCTATTAAGTTAAATCTTTGCAAGTTACTGACACTAACTAAATCAACCCACACCTTCAAGTTCTATAAAATTCCCATCACATGATCGGTGTAGCTAATGAATGAACTACTCATGTATGCGCCTCTCATCATTTACCCTTTCTCAAACAAAGGCAGAGTCACAAAACATTTACAGAACTAAATTTTCCAGGAATGATACATGTAGACCTACCCACAAATTGTCATCATCAGATAATATACACAGTGATAACATAATAATCGATGAAAACAATAGATATAGGTGAAGATTCGATACCTTTTTGTCTAGGAAAACAAGGACTTCATCAGGAACACCTTTAAATCTCTCGTAAACAGGCCTTACGACGGTGGTTACCGCGTTTTCTACTGTACCAACAGTTGATCTCAGAGGCCCCGAGTTCTGCTTCGCATAATCATACAGATTTGACACCAAAACCGCAGTGTTTAGAGCCAACACCCTTACGAACCCTAGATGTTTCAAATTAACCTCACTTTTCTCCATCTCAGCCTATCCATCATAAATCAAACAATCACAAAATTACTAATCAAACAGAAAACATGAAAAAAAAAATTAAAAAAACTAAAAAAATTGATTGGATGAACATGAATTAAGATAAAATTAGAAGAAAAACGTAGAGGGATCAATCTACAAACCTTGTTGGTAGCCATATTTTCTGATTGTTGATCAGCTTGTATGGAAGTTTGATCTGCTCAGCTATTGGTGATGCAAATGAGAGAGTTTGTTGGGTAATAAAGGAAGTGGGGGAATATTTAAGTAAAATCACAGGGCTGTGAAGATGCCACGTGTCGCAAGTATGGGGTCAGGAGGGATTCCTTCGTCCAGAATCAATGAGGCGTTTGAGGAAATGCCCATTTCTAGGGGTGTGTGGAGGCTTCTAGAAGGACACGTGGCATCTGTTTGAAGGCAGTGCGAAGAATCTCGACATTTTCCAACTTTGTCCTTTTTTAGTTTGTTTGTGAGCATAGTGTAGTACCCAAAAGAAGAATTTATTTATTACTTAATTAAATTTTGAATTTTGACGTGACAATCTAAGCTAAGGCAGAGAAAAGTACAAATTACCGTTCCTCCTTGCTATAAACACTAAACAATTAAGACATCTTACAGGTGCGTCATACTAATACTTAATTATTCTCTCCCTACTATAATACCTGCTTCCTTTTTCAATTAGTATTTTTTTAGAAGTTCATACCAATTAGACAAAAGTATACTCCGAAAAATAAATTGGTCTCATTTTAGCTTAAGCCACTGCTATGTTAATGTGAAAAATAAATGTATCATAGGGAACATTTTCGTTTAATCTTACAACAGGCAAAATTAATTTCAAATCAATGTACCAAGAAGCTAGTATATATTTAGATCAACAGGGAGCATTTGAATCTTGGTCACATCTATTACAAATTAGTCGGTACATTAAAAAAGAAAAGTAATGAAGAAGCCAGAGCATGTGGCACCATCAAGAATAGATAAAATATCTCCTTTTTATAGTATCTATATGTTGTTACTTAAGTACTACTACTAGAGTAAGGAAACTTGCTAGATTTTTCACCACTCAAGTTAAGGAACCATCAAGCAACTTGAGATTTTTGGCGTCTAACATACTGAAGGATAGGTTCTTTTACCTGTAGATAGAGAAAAGAGAACAGAAGAACAATTAGAAATATTTCCCAAATACTTCAGCCAGGATTCTTTACTAAAAACACTGATGTAATACCATGCTTGCTTTCCTCTGACGTTTTTCCTGACTGGACCTGCTACAGACTATGTCATACTCATCAGGCTGGTTTGGTTTTCCATTAACTCTTCCATTCTCCTTACCAGGAACAAAGCTCTCCCGAGAAGCTACAGGCTGCACAAACATCATATATATCTAACTATTTGTTACTGCAGTTTCGTTAGGCGATAATCAACTAATTAATTACTGAGTTATGTTGTTAATGCAGATTATTGAGGTAATCCACAACTGATGAACCAACCTCAGCGTTGCTTGATGGTGTCTTTTCATGCTCCTTTCTCTTGGAGACAGTCTGATCGCTCATGACAGATCCGTTCCTATATGCATCACATTTGCCTCTGGTACGTGTGAGATCCGATCCGATAGAGTGGAGAGCACCACAAGTGGATAGATCTCTAAAGTTGTTGTCTAGTAGCCATACAGTAATATTAGATTTTGTGGTCTGATCTTGATGATTAGTGTAGAAGTAACTTAACTAAACGTTATCAAAATTCAGATAGGTGGTGGAATCATTACCTGATTCATGCATGTCAATATCCTGACCATTTATAATAATTAAAGATAAGAATTAAAATAGTACAAGTACAAGAAACTGTCAAACTTATATTTAATTCAAGACTATTACCATACTGTCTTTTGCTAAGACCTTCGTAACTTCAGCCAGCTTTTCTTCAGTCAGATCAGAGTGGATCACACGCTTCCCTGCAATGACCAAATCAGTCCATCATTGGGAAACTGGTAATTCGTTATGCTCCATACAAAGCAGGAAATACTGTTTGCCAGAGGCCTGAGGGTACCTAGTCTGCGGTAGCCCTTAGCCTCAATGAATCCATCTTGTGTCATTTTATCAATTAGCCTCTTCACAGCAGTTTGGTTGGCTTCTCCTTCCAGTTTACTTTGGAGTTTCGCAACACTTACATAGTTCATCGGAAGAGCATGAAACAAAGCCTGAAACAAGAGACTGTCGTTGTTAACATGCAATACAGAAAGTAACATCCAACTTCATGCAAATCAGCATTAGCGAACTATTCACAAAATTTGTATTTAAGCAGTTGAAAGAGAGTTGTTATTCATATTCCTCTCCCGAAAGGGAAATTGTTGTTCATACTCCTCTTCTAACTTCACTAGACTTCTCTCCTCTGTTTGAGTTGCTAAATGAAAATACGGAACTTCTGTCTCCTCAATCTATAGGACATTACTGGGATATGTACTACTCTTCCCAAAAATCTTAAGAGGGGACAACATACATAACTTCGCACAAATGTTCTCTTCAAGCTCCCAAATTGTATTACTCTTTATCTATAAACACCAAAGTTAGAAGGTAGTAAAGGACCAGCTCCCCCAACCCATAAATTAGTCATCATGCACAAATATATGTTCTTTTCTAGATTATAAAGGAGGAAGGGAGAAGGGACAGTAGAAATTAAGAGATAATCACTTCATATATATTACTGAAATGTGAAGGAGTAGTCACAAGGTAAAGCAGTAGTGTGAATCACAATCCCCTGCGATGAACTTTAACTCAATGGACCATTTCCAGAAAGAACAAATAGAGAAAGAGGAAAAGTAGGAGCACAAAATCCACAAGCATGTGTAATCCACATATACAGTATAAATTAAGGAATATAGACCAAATTAACTAAAGAAGATACATATATTTCGGAAGGATATTACACATATCTACTAGATACTTTTAAGCTCAATTCAAAGGATATTAATCAGGTTTCACCTTCATGTACATGTAATCTTCAACCTTGCCCTGCTGAGATTGATTGCCATTTTTGTTTTGTTGGCCCTCTGGTTCTTCTTTCACAACATCAAACACATAGTTGAATTTCTGCATTTGAGGAATATGAAATTTTGGGTGTTGGAAAAGAATATATTATGATTCAAGAGAGTAAAGATGTAAACAATTAATAAATAAGGAAAACAATAAGAGACCTTTTGCGTCTTAATGATGTAAGTGTCTGTGCCAGCACTTGAAAGAATTCCTTCCTTAACAAGCTTTTCCAAAATGTCTAGAATCAAAAAAGCAGATTAAGAAACTTTGGACAGCCTAAAAAAACCAGAAAGAAAACCTTTTAGCATCTGATCATTATTTGGCACAAAGACTTCGGAAATTGGTACTAGGGTATAATATAACTGTTCCCCTCTATAGAAGTTCAGGTTGAGAACACCTTCATCATCTGCTTAAGAGGTCATTTCATTACCTTCAATCAAGACCTGCAATCAGGATGCAAAATTAGGTGTAGGCCTGGCTAGTAAATGATGGAGAAACCAGCACTTGATAGGAAAGCTAGCAGAAGTATATTACCACTGAGATGTTTGGAAAATTTGAGAGAACATCTGTCACTTCAACTCTGTCAAGGTGGTATGCATTGATCCAATCCTTAACCCGTACAAATTGTTGTTCATCTTCTGCAAGATCTTGAGTATCATCTGAAACCAATAAACGCATTAGAGTTCTTGATAAGCTGGTTCAGTAAGAAAGTCCATAGCATTTGCTTCAAAATAAAAGTACCTTCATCGACCATATCACCTTTATCCTGAACATTTTTCTTTTCTGTAAAGAAAAAAAGCTTCTCTTTTTGAATTTATGATATTAAGAAAATACTGACAGAATCAATGCATGTACAAAACGGTCGAATAGAGGCATGTGCATTACCAACTGGTGCAACTACGTATTGGTCTTCGTCAGAGTCGCTGAACTGAAATTGATGGATATTTAACAAAGTCAGGCGCATGAACATACTTAAAAGGATAGAAAATAAAGTCAAGCTTTATAAATAATTGAGGCGGGGAGAACCAATATTCCACCTCAGTATCAGATGCACTGTCATCTCTCTCGGCAGAATCAGCTCCCAAGCTCATAACATCATCTTGATTGTCATCATTCCCATCGTCGCACGGATCAAGCACACTCTTAACCTGAGGAAGAAAAGATATCAGTGTGAGCTGATTGGTCACTGAAAAGGAAACTAGTTTTATTCATTTTCCTTTGATCTGGCTCACACCTTCAGAGCTAACACGAGATGCTTGCTGTTGACATTTCCGACCTCCAATTTCAGAGGATTTTTCGTCCATGGATTAAGAGCCTCCTCGTCAGTGCAGCCTCTAAAGAAAGGAGGCTCATAATCAGCAGGCTGCACAACCAGCAATTCTGTTACAAAAGTTCTATTTCACCAAAATATGACAAGCTGAGTGACTTTTGAAGCAAAATGACATTTAAAAGCTGAACTGGAAATATGTAAGCTAAGAAAATTCTATGAAATGTATTTTGACATGGCTAAGCAATGCTTTCTGTCTATGGGCAGGCCGAGAACCATTTATCGACACAACTACAGGAATCAATTTTGGGGTTCAAACTCAAAAATAAACTCAAGCTACATAATTACAGAAGCGAGATGACTTCTAATAGGAAAACTCTTATATCCTGAATGTCAAAAAGGGATGATAATAATTGCAGCTTCTTCAAGGCAATGTGCTTATAGATGCAAATATATAATCCGCACGGCTACAATATATGAAAGTTTTACATTCACCCAAAACTCAAACATCGAGAGGCAAGCTAAAAGAGAAAAGGGAAAAGAAAAAGGAAAATAGAAATAAAAAAAATTGTGAAAAGGGCATACCGTGACATCATCATGATAAAGAAGCTTCATCAGTATAGTTCGCTGAGAAAACCAAGAGAATCGAACCTTATCAACAAGATGATAGTAGACAATTGGAGCCATGCTTTTTAGGAACAATAGAAAGCTTTACCTCTTCTGGCATCTTATCGAGAGTTCTCATCAACTGTATCAATGTACGAACCATTTTACAAGCAGAACTCCTGAAACATACTCCCTCTCAACACAAAAGGTTCTTGTAATCGAAAAAACAACCAGTATGAGAATGAGAATAAAATGAATCATTAGACCAATAGCTACCTCATTTGATTGGGTGTTATTTCAGTGGTTGAGTTAGACTTGAATGTTCCCCCTTTCTTCATTCCAACACGATTGACATTCATTGACACTTCTTCAGAGTCAGAACTTGAATAACTGAAAGAAACTGCAAGTAGACAACCAAGTGTATAAGCTAT